GCGCTGGGTCTGCGTCTGCCTCCTCTCCTGAAAGCGTGGCAAACCATTACTCCCGACATTTTGTTGGAGCTTCATGAGGTGGGATATGTTTAACACGCTTGGTTCAGATTTTTTTTTCATCGTATCAAGACTGGTTGGTCCTGATATCCCTGTGACAGGTCTTCAAAATTCCTGCTGGTGCGGATGCGTCTGTGGATATGGTGCGGTCGGTACTTCTTGCAGATGATCAATATGCATGGGCCAACCTGGAGCTTGGCTGGCCTGTGATGCAGGACATGCTGAAGCGACATCATAGACGCTTTCCTTTGCAGAGCGCTTCTGTGGCTTCTGCTGCAGAAGATTTGCGACGCAAACACAATGGTAGGTGTTTGCCAGATGATGCCATTGCAAGTCAGGTGCAAGCTCTGCTGTCTGCGGTTGCAGCTGATCCAGCGAGTTTGCAATGTCCGCACTGGATTGAGTTGCTTGGATAATATATTTTTTCTTCGCAGTATTTGACCTGCCATCTTGACAGTTTCTGTTGAAATCTGCTTGGCAGCTGAGGTCGGTTGCCATGCAGAGCAATGACCGCGATGCGACGTGGTTTCCTCCTTCGCTGTCGCTAGAATCTGGTGTTGTTCCTCCCTCGCTGTCTTTTGCATCCACCTTGAAGTCGGATGTGGGAGATAGTTGCACTACGTCTGTGTCAATATCTTCGACCAGGAAGCGTTGGAGGGCAAATGCGTTATCTCCTCCTCCCGGTTCTGTGATTGACATGAACGTCCCGGATGTATCGAACGAGGACGGACTGAAATGTTGTTGCAATTCCAGAATACATTGAGACTGTTTGAATGTTCTGTTGTTCCATCGTTTAACTCTGCTTCCTTGCTTCATCTTGATGAGTCCTTGCTTCCATCTTTTACCTCGGATTCATGTTGCGAGTTCCTCAGGAACTGCGGCGTCTTCCACTGTATTGGCAGCAACGAAATGAGTCTTCGTCGTCATCATCAGAAACTCTTCGGATTCCCGTGTGGGCCGCTGTTTTTTTCTCGAATTTTGCTTGGGATTTGCCTCGTCTTGAGGCTTTCCTTGATTCAGCTCTGCATGGTCTTCATGATACGGAACCTGATATAGTACAATGTGATGAGGACATGTCCGCCTTGCTGTTGGGCAGTGGCTCTGCTCCAGTTGCAGAAGATGTGGTAGAAGTGAGCATGCCTACGGATCTGGCATTGGAAGTGAGATTGGAGCAGACGGTTCCAGAACCGGGTTCAGACGTGACACTTGATGTAGATTCTCACGTGTCTTTGCCTCCTTTGATAGTGGATGATTCAGTGCCTACCAAATTCTATGACATGACAATGACTCGGTACTCTGCGGACTACAATCACGGTGTCGCGGCTTGGAGTGAACCGGAGTCGGATGGTAACAGCTCCCATGACGATGCGAGTCCGCATGCAGAAGATGTGCGACCACGTCCGCAGAGGTGGCAAGAACGTTTGCATGTTGCAGCTCTTCAACGACACCGAAAGCGTGCGTGCAAGTATGGAATGTGTCCAACTCACCATCGTGGAAGATATGTCACTGTTGCATACGGTGGACGTCATGCAGGAAAAGTAGTGCTTCGTTGCCCAAAATTTCGTGAAGTCGACCATCAAAACAAACGGGGTTGTTGGCATCAACAGCCATACTTTGGCTCCTTGGACCAACTTCCAAAACAAGTCCTTGGAGACATGAAACGTCTCCGCGGGGATCTTCGCTGGAATCTCCGCCACGGACCTCAAACCAGGGCAGAATAAAGCACAGGAGCGGCGGATAATGGAAATACTCGATATGTTTTAGTAGTGGTCCTCAAGTAAGGACGGTGTGTGTTGGGCTAAACCCAACCCCTGATACACACAGTCCACTGCATCATGCACACTCTTGAAGATGAGCCTGCCCCCGGGCCTACCTTCAAGAGTGCTCGTGGTGACAGAAGAAATAACATATTTGTGATAGATGATACTAACATACCGATAGGTACATATGAAGAAACATATCCAAAAGTGTGAATGAACAATGTAAAACTGTTATATATATATATGTATATATTGATAGATATAAGAATGTATTTATACACTTGTAGAAAGATCAATAACTAAATAAATAAATAAATATATATATATATATAAATCCCAGGTACGGGTTGAGGTCGTCTGGCAGGTGGCGCCTTTGCAAGGGTTTTATGTGTATATATATATTGATAGATATAAGAATGTATTCATGCACTTATAGAAAGGGGAATAGATAAATAAAGGAAAAAAAAAATATGTAAATCCCAGGTACGGGTTGAGGTCGTCTGGCAGGTGGCGCCTTTGCAAGGGTTTTATGTGTATATATATTTATATATATATATATTGATAGATATAAGAATGTATTCATACACAATGTCGAATACGCTTTGCCCGGCTTCAGAGTCTTATTCCCTGACTCTTTTAGTCAGGCACCGTTTCAATGTAGCTCCGCTCTCGGCATGGGTGGAAGCACTATTCGACCAAAAAAATTCCAGGCACCTGCCCTTTCCAAAAGACCAAAGAGAAACCTGAAAAATGTTCGCGCCACGAACAGAAAACATGTTGCTCTTGGTCTGAAGGCAAGCACTCATGATCGTGGAACTGACAAGTCCCGACGGACGGGAACCAGACTTCGACGATTGACTCAAGAGATCTACTTTGCTGATATCACACAATGGTCTGATGGCAAAGCTGAGAAGTTCCTACGTTCTCATGAGGTTTTGCCCGGCAAGAAAGAAAAATTACACTGCTGGGAATGTGACTCGGTCCTTGAGAAAAGCAATAAGGCGTCCTCCTCCTCAGGAAATGACGTAGTTGATGTTCTGCAGTGTCCCCGTTGCCGGACAAAAGGTCGGCATGCTTTGGAATTGAAGAATGCTTCCTTGTCCTACACTCCTTTTTGGAGCAGCATGTCCCGTGGGTACTCTCCGCAATATGCTCTATGGCTTCGTGTGCTTTTTGCCGTTTCGGTGAAAGTTCCAAAAGATAGCATTTTGCACATGGTTCAAGATGCCAAACATTCTCTGAGCGAGAAATTGCTGGATCGGTGGGTCAATGAATGTTTTTTTGTGTTAGCATACATGGAAAGCAAAGAACAAGAAAAGGTGCAATTTCAAGACGAAATTGTGGAACTGGATGGAAGCAAGGTGTGCAGCCACAAGAAAACCAGTCAGCCCACACACCTGAAACGAAGGCGACGCACCAAAAGTTCCAACACTATCGTGAAACCTCCTTTGCCTGGTCGCTTTGCCCGAAATCAAGCTGCAAGAGGCGACAAGAGACCTATGGTTCATCACGGTCGCATGCTGTATGTGAAAGGACGTGGTAGTCGGAAAGTTGTCATGGTCACCATGCGGCCTAGAACGACTCAAAAAGGGGCTCCATCACCTCCCGAAGATGCAACCACAGTGCGGAAGGCGTTGCAAAGACACGTGGATGCAAAGAGCTGCGTCAGTGCTACGGATAGCGCAAAGGCTGGGGCCGCAAAACTACCTGTTTTTCTTTTCATACCTATGAATATATTATATGATATGTTAAAGACCTTTCTATCTACCTCTATACCTATGTATCTATCTGTTTATCCATCTAGTTTGTTCTTTCTATATGTGTCTATCTATCTGTCTATCTATCTATCGATCTATCTATCTATCGATCTATCTATCTATCTCTCTTTCTATTATGTCTTTCACCCCAAGATCTTCGTGTTAAAACAACAACAATCAAAATTCCAGCAGAGCAGGCCCTGACAGCGACCTGTCGCAAGTTTGGACTTCCTAATGCACCTGCCCGTCATTGCATCGATGAGATGTCACCGACCGTCGAACTGAACCAAAGTGACATGACAAAGCAGCAGCAGAAGACTTTGACAAAGGCCTCGAAAGTCTTGAAGAGACCGGCAGCTTTGAAAAGGAAACAATCCTTTTTGATCGTCGGAGGCGACAATTCAGCAGAATCTGAAATTAGCCGAGCGAAGGGCCAGATGCGCCGCACCAATATGCTGGGTAGAATCAGCCCACGCAATGCTCAGGTGCAGCAGTTTGCTGTCAAGCGTCTCTTAGAGAAGCCTGGGTTGATGCCTCTGGTGACGGCCTTTGCAGAATATCGCAGAGATCGAAAAAACCAAATGGGTATTCAACCAGGTCACGCGTTTCAAATTGACAAAGACAACACTTGGCTCCCATGAAAAAAAGGAGTGGACACGCCTCCCAAAACTGACACCACTAAACCCTCAAAAAAAGGGTACAAAATGCACAGACACACGCTGTGCCTATGGGAAAAGCGCTTAATGAAGCGCGCGTTTACAGGACGACCGAGCGTTGTTGGTTGAAGGGGCAGTGGAATCCCGAGAAAATTGCCAAGTCAGTTGGGACCCAATCCAGGAAGATGGCTTCGTTACAAGTCAGGCTCCACTTTAAGTGCTTCCAACTGCGGTTCCAGTCGCTGCACCCCATAGTTCTCCACATCCGCCCATCATTTTGGTGTTTCTGTTGGGTTTCATGCCCCAAAATTGCAATTCGAGGCATTTGGCTTTCCAGATTGTAGATGCTTCACATTGATAAAAACCGATTAAAAAAAAAAACATGTCCACAGTTATGTTCAACAACTGGAGGGTTGCCACTATAAAAAGCTGCCATTTCATCCATGTCATCCATCTATATAAAAACACACACACATATATATATACACATACATTATACATATAAAAATATAACATGATATAACTATAATCTATAATTAAGTACTTTATATCATTTGGGATAAGTCAAGTCACCATTTCATCTCCATCGCGTCATCGCGTCCTCTGAAAGCTGCTTGAATTCGGGCGCATCTGGGCCATAGAAGGTGTAGATCGACCCCGTGCCACCCACTGCTGAGATACCGCCTGCCTTGGGTTTCCTGGGTGAAACGAAAGGAGGGGGAATGATGGGGATATAAAAAAGGCTTAAAGGGGTGGAAAAAAACATGTTAAAACTATGGTTTTCATTGATGAGTTTATGGTTTTTCGATGTTTTTCGGATGAAAATCACTCAATTCTCACGAACAATACAGGTCTTAGTACCCGAAAGGGTTTCATCACACGTGGCTTGAAAATTCACCAGCACTATGTCCCATTAAAGCAACATTTAGTTCGAGGATTTTCAACTGCCACCTTTGACTACCAAAGGGTATTTTTTTTCAACGGTGAACAACACATAACGAAACTACCAAGTGCTATGTGAAGGTAAATTTCATGGGGATTTTTAACGGTAATGCCATGGTACCAATGATGTTGAATAGGTAAATCCGTCAATCAGCTACAAATGGCCAATGTTCAAGAGCTATGATGACTGGTTGGTGGTTTCAACCCCTCTGAAAAATATGAACGTCAATTGGGATTATTATTCCCAATATATGGGAAAAAATGTTCCAAACCACCAACCAAATGAGCTATGTTGAATTAACGGAGGTTCCTCATAGCTAATACTTTTCAGGTGATGGGAAACAAATGAAATCACGGGGTGAATTTTGGTGAATTGGGGGTCCCAACAGCCCAAAGCCAGTCCCAAAGTTGTGGCACTTGCAACTCCAACATTCATGGCTGCTGAGGTCCCAGCTAATTACAGTGAAGCATACAAAAAACTATGGAAAATCACCATTTTCAATGGGCAAATCGACTATAAATGGTCATTTTCAATAGCTATTTGTATGTTTACCAGAGGCTAATTACAGTGAAAAATATTGGAAGGATGTTTGCATTTGATTCCATTTGTTTGAGGAATCCCCGAGCAACAACATAACCACTATTCCCAAAAAATATGATCCATTGCCAGTAGATATTCCGTTGACAAAAACAGAACCAAAAGAATCATCGACACACGTCGAAGTTTCCAGGTGCCTTCAGCCACAGAGGCAAAGCTGCAGTTTCAGTCACTTCATCTCCATCTTTTTTCTAAAAGAAAACATCTCGTAAAACATCTTGATTCATCTGTTGAACATCAATTGACTCTGGATTTTTCAATCCCTATGATATTATAGATATGGATCTTAGTTATATAGATCATTATACTATAATAATCTATAATCCATATATATATATATATCAGTATTACTATAATCAATGGATTTTCGCAATGATTCCCATCCCCATCCTTTTTTTTTTTGCATCGCGGTTCTTGTGGATGATGCCGGTGCAGGTGTCTCCGATCATGTTCATTCGCACTTCACCTGACGGAACGAACGGCGAGGCGGTTACTGCTAGTATCTGCTAGGATCTGCTAGGCTTATACATATTATAAGTATAGAAATACAGTGGATGGTTGCGAAATCCTGCACCAGTTGTCTAGGTGGTTGTTTATCCCATTATTTTTCGGGTTTCAACCATCCTTTTGGTGGTGCAGGATTTTGTAACCATCCACAGTAGTATTGTGGTAATTGACATTAATTAACCATAGTAACTGCCATAGTATTATATACTGTAATAATCAAACATTAATCAAACCCAACCATAGTAGTGTGGTAATAAACCATAGTATTTCTAGAATCAAACCCGTCATTCATGGTTTAGTGATTATAATGATTATAAGCACAAAGCCCTAATTGTATAACTAGGGTTTATGGTAATTATAACTGTAGTATACTAAGGGTTTGCAAAGCCACTTACGAAACTGGGGAGCCTCACCTCAAGTATGTAATGAACACACAAAACATGCTCCTAGTAAGTAAGTAAGAAACCAATGCCCCAAGTAGTGATGTCATTAGCCACTGAAATACTTAAGAGCAGCTATGATCACTCTTAAATCATCCAGCCATGATGAAATCCATAACTTGGACGCCAAAAACACGCCAAATTCGCTCCAAATCCAAATAGAGAAGACATAAAGCACCCAAATTCCATGTCCAATCATCATTTTCCCAACATTTTCCCATTTTTTGTAGGGAAAAACATCCATGTTAAATCATTTTCCACATATTTTCCCATCATTTTCCCCACCTTTCGGCCCAGAAATCACCATAACTGGCCCTCATCACCCGGCCGCGCGTTACGCGCCGCGCTAGCGCGCCTTCCACGATCCGTGGGCAGAAGCGTTGGTCCACCAGTTGACCTCCCGCCGCCTTTCCACCTGAGGTGAAGAAAACAGAACAAAACTACCAAGATAATGGTGATAATGGCTTAATGGTGATTAATGGTGATTAATGGTGATTAATGGGGGTTATTAATGGCTAATAGTGAATTAATGGTGATTACCCTCTGGTAATGACTAACAGTTTGCAATTGAAAATTGTTATTTAGTTCGTTGATTTTCCCATTAAAAGTGGTGGATCTTTCCATTGTTTTTTGTATGTTTACCAGAGGGTAACGAAACTACCAAGTGCTATGTTCATTGGATTGGTTTTGTTGGGAAAATCTTCACCGAAAACCATGGTGAATTTACCATGGTTTTTACCATCAAATATATATATAGGGCTTTCCGGTTAAAATTTTCCCATGATCCAATTCTATGATATGTGATGGTCAATTTCATGGGGATTTTTAACGGTAATGCCATGGTAGCAAGGATGTTGAATAGGTAAATCCGTCAGCTACACATGGCCAAGCTTCAAGAGCTATGATGACTGGTTGGTGGTTGACCTACCATCTTGAAAAATATGAGTTCGTCAATGGGAAGGGTTATCCCGTATATGATGGAAAATAAACACATGTTCCAAACCACCAACCAGTCATCATATTAGATACTATACTTGTATATATATATATATGATAGCATATGGATAGTAATACTTATTGGATAGTAATCCAATTATGATATTTATTGGATAATAATCCGATAACCACAGACCAGAGAAAAAACTACAGGAACAGTTGCAGGACATCTTGACATGTTGGGACATTTTTTTTGAACAATATTTGATAACCAATCTTAACAGGTTGAAACCAAATTCAACAAATTAATCAACATTTAACAAGGCTGTTCTGAAACCAAAAGTTCAGTACCCTCTGGTAAACATACAAAAAACTATGGAAAATCACAATGTTTAAATGGAAAACTCACTATAAATGGCAATTTTCAATAGCTATGTTAAATTACCAGAGGATAATTGGTAGGGAACACCTGCAGGAAACCCAAACCTTTTGGACATAGCCACCACCTGAGAAGTATCGTAGCATCCCAGCATGATTTGGCACATGGGTACCCTTTCCAACGTTCAACTGGTTGGTGGTTGACCTACCCCGCTGAAAAATATGAGTTCGTCAGTTGGGATGATGACATTCCCAATGCATGGAGAAATAAAATTCATGTTCCAAACCACCAACCAGTCAATGATTTTCGTTGGTTTCGTTTCTTTAAAGCTTCCCTTTGAGGTATCCTTCCCATCCCCAAATGGTGGCAAAATTCACTTCATCTTCCCCATTGGAGCGGCGGGAACCACAAATTCTTGGACAAGGCCAAACACACATGTTGCTTAAGTTGCTTATATGCCATTTGTAACTATAAATATATAACAATAATATATCATTATATCCCCATGACGCCCCCCAGTATATCTGCTTTTAAATATAAGTATCCCATGCAATATCTCGGTTATATCCCAACGAACTATTCCCCTTATATCCTCGGGATGTTCATGAAATGAATTGTTTCTCCTCTGAGTACTTGCATAGCTTTAGAACATGGCCCATTCATAGACCATTCATAGATGATCTATGATGATTTACCGATCAAAAACTTATGATGTTTCAGTTTGCAAACCGTTCAAATTGCCGGAGTGTGTATCCCCACCATGATCATCATGATGATCATTGTCACTATCTTTAGTGCTATTATGTATAATAAATATATATATATATATATATTCATCACCCTCCGGTAAACTAACATAGTTAGCTATTGCAAAAAATAAATATAGGATGTTTTACCTATCAAAAATGGTGATTTTTCCATAGGCATGGTGGTTTACCAGAGGGTATGTCCCTTCTTCATATGGCTAGTTTCATGACTGTCCATTGATCGTTGACTGAGTCATCCACTTCCTGGTTGGTGGTTCAACTCCTCTGAAAAAATATGAAAGTCAGTTGGGATGATTATTCCCAAGATGTGGAACAAATAAATTTCATGTTCCAAACCACCAACCAGTCAATGGTGATTAATGGTGATTAATGGTGATTAATGGGGGTTATTAATGGCTAATTCACTTCCAAACCACCAAGCAGTGTCCATGGATCGACCGAGTCATCTTCCCGAAACCGCGCCTTCCAAGTACTTTCCAGTCCCCACAGTGTCCCACTTGCCGCTCTTAGAGGTGCGCCCATTGACGCAAAACCTGGGACATACATGAACATATCCTCTGGTAAACTAATGTTAACAACAGAAAATCACCATTTTTAATAGGTAAAACATGGTAAAACATCCAATTTTTCGTATTTTTCAATAGCAAACTGTTAGTTTACCGGAGGCTAAACCATCTTTTCTTTGGGAGGGGGATGAGACCGCAGCAAAAATGATCATATGTCATTTTTCCATCAATGATGATGTTTCAAAACTGTTCCCCAAAAAGCGTAAAATCGAAAATCTCGAAAGAACAAGAGTAAACTTAGACATATACCCTCCAGTAAATTCAGATAGACTCTGCCAAATAGGGGTTGGAAGATGAGTTTCCGCTAAACATTGATTATTTTCGGGGTCTAGGTCAATTTACCGGAGGGTCATAGGGATGTAGGGGCACCGCAAAAAGTTATTTTTATGGGTGTAACTTCGGTACAACCATGGTTCTAAACTCCCACAAGTTGGCATATAACCCCTATAGATATAATTAATTATCCACTTATACCCTCCAGTAAACCAACATAACCATGGAAAATCCGGATTTTTCAAGGTAAATCATGTATCAGTGGTTGTTTTTTCCATAGCTATGTTAGTCTGAGGGCAACTCGAACAGCACTTCCAGCCGAAACCCATGCCGTGTCGAACATTGGCTGAGACACTCAATGAACTCCGCCACGGTGTGGGTCTCCGAATGGTTGTCGCAGGCCTCTTGCAGCAGATTGGTCACAAAAAACTCCAAATTTATCCATGCTGAAACCACGGAACATGACCCATAAAGATCCAGTATAAATGTCATTTAAGAAACACTATCCATGTATCTATGGATCATGGAAATGATCATTTGATGGGAAAAATGCCATGGTTTCCTCATTGGCTGGTCATGTGCAAGGACTAGTGCCATGTTTTGGTCAATGTCACAAAATCAGCGGCAACAACAAGTTTGAAATGAAGCGCAGAACGCTTCCATGTTTTGGCAGGGATGATCATGGTACAAATAAGTCCCCATCTTCCATACCATGACATCGGAAAGGGATTGCTAAACAGTTCTGAATGCCACGCAAGGCCATATACACCTGCAGCTAAACTGATTCGCTCTGCAGCTTAAACAATTACATTATAATACCATTGTTGTGCTATTATAAAGTCGATGATCGGTTGATTAAAAATCCCGTATTGTTGCAAAAATGGTAGTTATCTACCATATCTATCACATCTATCAACATCTATCACATCTATCATCTACGCAATCTACACCATCCACATTCACAACATCATCTACATCATCTACATAATTTACATAGTCTACGTCGTCCGCATCATCTACATCGTCTACATCATCTACATCGTCTACATCATGGACATCATCTACATCATCCTCATCATCGACATCATCCTCAATCATCTCAGATCTACAGTAAGATCTAAGATCTGTCATCAATCATCTGTGTCATCTGTGTCATCTGTGTCATTTATCATCATCATCATCGTCATCACCAATCCCGACCCAGCACCTTTGAGTCGATGTTTTTGCAGTGCCCAGTGTTGGTCACATCGAATCAATGGTCACAAGACTTGCGGATTTCCAAGGTGGATATATCCCCTGAAATCTGCGAATTTCAATTTCTTATGGGTTAAAACGGTTAAACATTTATAAACCATGAGTAAAAGGATCCCTGGCATCCCATACGTTTCATCAGTGTTTTGCTGAGTTCTGGATTGGTTTAGGGGAAAAAATTGCAGGAAATCCCCATACTTCATGGGGAACACCATGGTTTCCTGTCGATTTTCCCTTCCAATTCTTATTTTGGGACGACGGGCACCGGGACAACACCGTGCCTCCATCATCTCCAAGACCTCATCGTCAGTGCAGGAGCGATCTCCAAAGTTCTTGCCTGCAGGATATTATGGATATATCAATATAACTATATATATATATATGGGTAAATTATAATATTTCACTAATAGTATATGATATATCCAATATCCATATGGTATGTTATATATACACATATAATCATATATGAATCAGGATATGATGGATATAATGGATATTCATGGATCTATATGGATATCATCACCTTTATACATGAATATCCATTATATAGTATTATATGCAAAGATTCTTACCTGAGGGATTTACCTTTCTTGATTTTGGGGATGATTTCTTTCCCACACCTAAAAATGCCGTCGTTGGGATGGTTTATGACAATATGACATTGGTCTTGTCACACCGTAGCGGCAGCGGGGGCCATAGATGTAGCCAGTTTATCATGTTATACATACATCTCCACACACACATGTATATATATATGTGTGTATTTCTATAATTTTCTATATGCATGTACTGCAAGGAAGCAGAGAAGGTATTGGTATGTAAATATATTTAGGTATATGTATAATCATAAGTATATGTAGTTATGTGTATGTACTTCTTGTTCTGATTACTGTTGGGTTTCCCTTCAAAATAAACATTCAACTGGGAAAAAAAAGGCAGCCTTAGACACGCCAGGTGACAATAGTTCTCGCTCTTGAGTTTGATGATCCAGATTCCTTCACCTGATGAGCCTCGGTTTTGTTTGATGACCCGAGGTTGGAATGCCATGGTCTTCTTAAAGCCGGCCGCGAACTCCTCCGGGCTGTAGTAAGCAAAGGTGTCGATCAAGCCGATGCACAAGTTGGCGATCTTGCACAAGGCATCCTTGGCGCCCATGTTGGTCATCACGTCCGGGGAAGGCCACACCTGTTTACCTCGGCACGGGCACCACCGGCCGGTTGGCACGGCCAAGGCATGTAACATGGACATGCAGAAATTGGAAAGTCTTCACCAAGGATAGGAAGCAACACCATGTAGCACATGTCCTGCTGTGAAATACCAGCAAATTGCGTGCCTCAATGGCTGTGTCATCGTGAATAATTAATCCCATCTACTGCCCAAATGGAAACCCAAACAAATCCACCACTTACCCAAGGTTTCTTGTGGATTGGAAAATGACTTGCTTGAGGTCTCCCTCATCAAAAGATTTCAACAACTAATTCATCCTGAAACCGCGGGAACATGTGCGTTTTATGCCTTTGTAGATCCGTTTTTGCCATTACCCTCTGGTAAACTAACATAACTATGGAAAATCACCATTTTGAATGGGAAAATCCACTATAAATGGCCATTTTAAATAGCAAACTGTTAAATTACCAGAGGGTAAAATCATGCAATCTTTGAGGAAAACTCCCAGGCAGTGCCGTGCAACCTTTCTTCTGCAACGCCCTCATGGCATCGTCGAACTTCGTTTGTTCACCTCGCGCGCAACGCGCCCTTTTTTGATGGACTTGCCACGGATGTCATCCCCGAAAAATGGTCGTTTCGAAATCCCAAACCGGGGAGGTTTGAAAGTGGAAAAAACGGATGGAACTACTTAGATGGGCCATGGGATTAACTAACTGGTTAGTAACTGGGGATATAACCCCCTATATCCCAATTATAATCCATTTACTAACTAGTTAACTAACTCCATGGCCCATCTAAGTATGGCTGGGGAGTCTGAAGAAGCAATGGAGCTGATTACCGAAGGGTAGCAATGGTAACCGACGGATGAATAATTCACTGGTTTAACAGGGGGTAAATTCCAATTCTACACACTTTCCTGCATATTGTTGTTGAATTGGAATATTCATTAATGGGAATATTGATTTTTGTTGTACACAACAAACATTCATGGGACTATCCCAATAATTCACTATAATGTTTGTTCTAGTGTTATCGCATCTGCCGGGGACGCCCCAATTCACCAGCACGTTCACCAGCCGGAGTTGCAGTGACAATGAGCTATATTTGATGATCATCTTTCATCTTTATAATATTTAATCATTATAGTTTATTAATTATGGTTTATTATTCGTCATTAGAATAATATTATAAATGAACTATGAATAAACACACACACACACGCTCCGGTAATCAAAAATGGCAATGGAAAACCAGCCATTTATAGATGATATTAGATGAATTTCCCATCAACACCTCCATTTGTAACCGTTTTCCCATTGCCACGCTTGATTACTGGAGGGGAATAATTGAGCTTATCATGAATGTGAATGACAATTAATGATTCAGGTTGATATTCCCATTATATCCCAATATATCCAACTATTTCAATATGTCTAAACAGCCTAAAACGCCGCTTAAAAAAAATCCATTATCATTCCAATTTTTTCATTCAGAATCCATGATCATCACATTTAATGAATAATCCCACAAATAGCTCGTTTTTGTGCTTGGTGAATGGCAAAGCCCTTTCCATAACCAAAACAGCAGGGTTGATATTCCATTCACTAACATTTTTCCCAATAATTATTGGACTGAATATTCACCAGAATGTTGTACCATCCACCACATGTTGGAATGAATATCCCACCATAAAAATAGTTGATAAAAATGGTGGTTTAAGCCATAGTTTTTTGTATGTTTACCAGAGGGTAACCACAATAACCATTGATAAATCCATGATCATCACATTTAATGAAAAAATCCTATAACCATAACAACCATTGATATTATGAAATTGGTATTATATGATTATTCACCATATAATGATATGGTTATATGTACCATATATATCATCACATTATCCCTATAACCATAACAACTTTTGCCATTTCTGATATGAATCTTCACCCGATTTTGCCATCCATTCATTCCACCAATGATCGTTTGGCCTCCCGCAGCATTGATCTGCCCAGGGTTGCAGCGCACGATGATCGCATCGAAGCCCTCCATAGCTTTGACGAAGGCATCCTCGGCATTGGTTTTTGTCATAGATTCATAGATATTCTCCATATAATATGAATGATCTATGACAAAAATAGAGAAATCTATGATGGAGAATAAACTTATTTCTCTATGTTATATTCATTTTCTATTTATTGTCATCATATAATAAACATAGAGAAATATAGACTGATGACAATAACTATGCATACAATATATATATATAATATATGTATTCTATGCGGCCTGAAATTATTTGTGGGTAAAGTCATTCTGCTGGGAAAGCATGTTTGAAAAATGAAATGCACATAAACACAGCTGTGAGGGTCTGTCGCCCTAAAATGGATTTCACCCCAATACCATCCAATAAATTTGAATAGACACAGATAAAACATTGTTTCCCAAGAAAATGATATGGACATGGTGGATTTTTCGACGTTTGTCTTGATATGTCTTAATGTTGCAAGAATATTTATATACTGAAGAGCAGATGCTGCAGCATGAGATCTACTGCACAGGTCGAGCATCATGTTCCTCAGGAACATAATGAATGAGCTGGCAGCTCATTCCCGATGCAATCATGCCGTTGGCAATTGGAATTGTATCCTTGGATTTGCACCCAAGGCCCCAAAATCAAACATCGACAAAGCGCAGATCCAGGAATGGGTGGATATCTAATACCAAGGTTATGTATGTATCACACAGATGAAAAAAACAACACACGCACACACACACACGCACATATATATAATTATAATTATAAATATATGCCTGTAATTATAACATTATATATGTAAATAATTATATATATGTATATAGTTAACTATATGTACGTATATGTAAATAACTATATACTATATGTATACCATTTTATACATATGTATATATGTATAATTATATATATGTATAATTACATATATATATATGTATATAATTATGCTATATATGTATATAATTATATATATATGTGTGTATATTGTACTCCTGCATACATATACGTACATATAAGTCTATCCCCATTCCAACATAGCAATCTTGACGACCATGACCCTTTATGAGCTCTGTTGAGCGCTTTTCGGTTAATTTTTCCAGGTGACATAGCGATGGCCACTGTTGCTCTTGTCAGATCCTCCGAAGGGTTGACTGGGCACATAGATCTGTACTAAGGCGGTCTTGTACTTTGGGCTGATGGGCTGAGGCAGCAATCCCACCTGATCGAAGAAAATGGGATGGAGTTCAACGGGGTTCAGAAAGGAAGTCATTGGCCACACATGACTAAAAAACATACAATAGTAGTACCATCTGGTTATTTAACATAGCCATAGAAAATCACAATTTTTAATAGGTAAACCATCTATAAATGGGTCATTTTCCATGGCTATGTTAAATAACCAGATGGTAATACATACTGTATTGTATGTGATATACAATAGTAGTAACACATTCATAACACTTTCCGAGCAAGAGAGGGTGGTCATGAAAAAACACATAAAACTACCTCGAAATTATGTTTTTGGGATTATGTACAGCGTGGCTGTGTTTCAAAACATGATGAATGACCACCAAGGCGTTTGACATTTTTGCGCATCCCATATTCTAGACAACGTGAAGCACTGGTGAACGAGAGAATTTCTATCACCTCAACAGCTCCAAACCACTTTTAATTGACAAAGCAACCAACTTCAACACGAGCAGCCAAAAAATCCGTCTGGGAACCCCAGTGGCTTAAACTCACCTTCTGATATAAACCCTGAAAATCCCAGCAATCCAGATTTTAAGGTAAAACGAACCCCCCCTTTTTTGGACCATGATTCATGGTTCCATTACCAACTGGTAAACGTTTACATAACTATGGAAAATCACCGTTTTTTTTTAATAGGTAAATCGACGATTTCTAATGGGCCATGGCATAGCTTCTCTATGTTTACCAGAGGCTAACCATCCAACATCCATTGAATCCATGGAGATCCAAGGTGCATCATCCGTTTTGGCCACCTTGGTCAGTCCGGAGACATCCACCAACTGCGGTGCCTGACAGCCACTGGGCTTGCTGAAGGCATAGCCCGCAGCGATGGCGCCCGTCGCCGCCGCCGCCAGGGCCGGGCGCGCCCCAAGGGCGACGACTTTGCTGCGGGCGGCGCGCAGGGCGAAACGAGAGGCGCGGAAGGCCATGGCGATGGTGGCAGAGGGATGTGGGGAGCACGACTGGAGCGATGGCGGCTGAGTGGCATAGAGATAGCCATAGAAAATCACCATTTTTAATTGGTAAACCATCTATAGATGGGCAATTTCCCATTGCTATGTTAAATAACCAGAGGGTATCAGAAAGGTGGCCAGGTGTCAGCCAAAAAAACAACTAGATTCGAAAAAAACAAGAGCTTTTTTGGTGATAAAACCTTCTTGATGACAGATCAAAGCTGATGGAAACCAATACCAAGAGGAGTGCAGCCCGGATGGCCCCGTGGCCTCCCTTTTGACGACATGAACCTTGTCTCCTGTACAGTTGCAAGAGCTCAGCCCAATTCAGCTGAACTTTGTTCAAACTGCCGTATGATGACTTGCCAGACTCCCCACGGCACAGCAGTGCTTGAAAAACCTTTGGAGAACCCCATTGAGTTTTTGGTGGAAACTAGTGCAATCTTCCACTACCCGCTGAGCCATGCCCTTGACATTGTGATCTCCTCTAGATTCTAGATTCTCTCCATTCAAATCCTCCATCTGAGATCAGCTCCCATCTTGGAATGATCTTTGGTGGAGCCACTCATTCGCTCATCCAATGGGATTTCGGAAAGGACCTATGGAAACCAGAAGCTACACAACTGTTTGAGTGGCTCACAACAAAAACGCCATCACCGATTTCCGCATCGTGTCATGTCCAAACTTCCCATATCTTCCCATGATCACCCCAATCTTTTCTGATACCATCTGGTTATGACTAACAGTTCGCCATGGAAAATCACCATGCTATTAATAGGTCAACCATTGATTTCAATGGGCCATTTCCCATGTCCTTTCCCATGGCCTTCTAAACACACCGGGGGGTCTGAGAATCCATCAGACTGTTCCGCTTCCGCTTCCGTCCGGTTGGACCTGGTCACATTACTGCACCTGACCATCGGTGGCTCTTGGATGAGGCTTTTTTGAAAGGAAAACCCATCGAAAACCCATGGGTTTTGAGGCGTCTTGGCGAGCATCTTGAGAGTTCCGAAGTTTACATGACTCACATGACACATATTGTGGAAAAAAATCTTGTTGGTGGGGCTTGGGTGGGACAAATGACTAGCATCAGAAGAAGATACCAGTGTCATCAATGTAAGAACCGGGTTAGTTGCTCATTCTCCCTCGGTGACCGAACATGCTGCATTGGGGTGATGAAATCACCAGCAAAACCACACCAAATCATGACGAAAACCGTCCCATTATTGGTGATGTTTCTCATCAGCAAGGGATGTTCAGCCTGGAACTTCCAGGGCGCTCGGTGCGATGCCCTGATTTTCCGTTGGGCTTTTTGCAGCCCAGAAACAGCGTTCAGAGCGAGCCCTACGGGGCAGATCTCCCAATCCCAAGGTCTTGTTCCAAATCTCTTCCACCACACCCACTTCCTGGGAAGGTGGAAAAATGGATCATTTTTTGATGTGAGAAATGAGAAATGGCTAATGCTGATTGAATGTGCATATAATTATAGAATCTGATAGCATCATACTGTATATTACGTGTAAATAATTAAATGTGCATATAATTGTATAGCTACATATACATACATATACATATATATGTATATATATATACACATATATATATGTATATGTATACATCTCTCTCTCTCTCTCTCTCTCTCTCTTCCTCCATTGCCATCTCAGAGAGTTCAATAGAAGCTGAAGGGCAGCAGGTGGTATTGCATTTTGATATAGATTTATCATACATTATCCTGCATCGCTTGTTGAGCATGTTTTATTTGTTAGCTCCATTGTTGAAGGTTCCCAACAAAATGGAACATCAACTACAAACCTCCATTTTTTTTTGGTTGTTGAATTATTGGGAATTTCCCGGTAGCCCGTGATGTTTGATGACACCAAGGGGTCCAACACTATATGGCAACCCCAAAACAAATGCAAACACCTTGAACACTTAGAAATGATGGAGAAAACATCATCAAACTTTCATCCTGGAAACACCTTTAGTCTTTAGTCATCTATAAATGCTGGTGGCTACGGCTACACATTCATTTTACCAAAGATCTACGAATTTCAACTTTGGCAAGAGGGAAAGGGTGGCGAAAAAAGGACCTACAAACAAACACCAACCATTAACAGCAAAAATCAACCATCCACTGCTGAAACAATGGCTAAATCACTAACCAATCACCCAACCATTTGTACAACAGCTCAGCACCACCGTCGCTAAGAGTCGGGAAAGCCAGACTTCCCGGCATCGAGGATTCTCTCCTCAGGTTTGAGCTGGGACATAGCGAAATCCCCTGGAACTCCGGTGGCTTCGGTAAATGGTGGATTTTCCATAGGATTTTCACCAGCGACCACCATGGCAGTATTGGACTGGTGATATCCGATCTCCTCAAGCTGGTAAATTTTACCAACACAAGCTTTGCCTGAAACTGCCACGGAATGATAATGGGAGGGTTTGGGCAAAACTGGCAACCTTGGGTCTGGCAATAGGCCACGCTTGTCCCAATAATACCTGGGTTCATCATTTTCTCCAAAAGACCATGCGGTCATTTTCAGAAGGCCCATCCCATCATCCCCCACTTTCAGACACGCCTAAATCGCATGTAGACCAAAAAAAGGATGTGTATATATTATACCTGCACAATCCTACACAGCATCTTAGTTGGCCGTCTATCCCAGTCCCGATGAGAAAATGACCTGTCGACCTGTCAACCGTTTTCTAAGGCGAAAAAACAATGTTTATCACATATTCATGGCTGTTACCCATAATTCTCCGATATTTATTTCATCATTCTCCCATAATTATTCAGTTGTCCCATGATCTTCTCAACATAAATATCATAAATCATCCCATAGCTATCCCATCATCATTCCATCATTCCATCCCATAGCTATCCCATATCTTCACGGTAAACACTGAGCAGGTGGCAGTCTGTAAGGAGACGGCCCTGCTGAGCTGCCTCAGCGTGCTCAGCGTTTCTGAGATCGCCTCGGACGAAGTCGCGCTCGGTGAACTAAGCATGGCGCACTGGTGCACCGCACCAAAATGTGGTGATCATCTTGGGCAATTTTTGTTTTTTTGTTTCTATCCTATTTTTGGGGGTTGCAGAAAACATGGTTTGTTTGTTTTCTGCGTTTTTTTTAATGGAGATGTGTCATGTCATCTTCTTGATTTTTTTGCAAAATACGTTGTTAAATCCGATGAAACAATGAAAACACATACCCTGAAATAATTTCAACGCACAGCACCATTAAAAAAAACACATCAATGGAACCTGAAACCAACATCAGTCACCACACAGCGGTTCCGTGGTTTTTGGAATGCCAAGATTCAATCACCTGAGGAAGCAGCTGCCTGGTGGTGGGTTGTTTGATGGCCCATTGACTGGGAAAAAACATGGGAGAAATTGTGATAAATTGCTGGTTGGTGGTTTGAACCATCTTGAAACATATTAGTCAATGGGAAGGATTCTCCCATATACAGTATTATGGAAAAAATGTTCCAAACCACCAACCAGGATATTCATGGTGCAGTTGGATTGATGGCGTCGTGGAATATTTATAACAATTTATATCAAGATATATCAAGTATAAAAAAAAGTGGATTGTACCATCAATCGATGAAAAAGTTCAATCCCGGCGATGGAACGTACTGGTGCAGAAGCCGCGTGAACGGAGCCCCACATTCTCACCATTCTGCATTCATAAAACAACGGAAAGTCCTTCCCGTAAGAACTACCATCTGGTTATGACTAACATAGCCATGGAAAATCCCCATTTTTAAGAACGGTAAACCATCTATACCATGGCTATGTAACAAATAACCAGAGGGTAACCAAGCTATTTTTGTTGAGATTTTCTGCTTCGGTTTCTGGTTCGGTCTCCCAAATCCGAAACGCTCTTGGTACATACCATGCAGTGGTGGTGGTAATCCCAAGCCATGTGTCGTCGGTTAAAAAAACTCCATTCATATGGATCTTCCACAAAGCCAAACGTATGTATACTGTATACTTATGTATAGTTATGCTAGTTGCAAAATCATAAATCATAAAAGATCTACCATGTTCGTTAATGTTAGTTTTTTGTTCAACACAAATGAAGCAACTTCGCTTAAATCAATGGCCATGTCAGGAACCTAAATTGGAGGTGCCTACCATATATAAGGCCTATTGTTCAGGCCTAAATTTCAGGGAATATCGATAGAAAATATGGCCAAACATATGGTACGTAAACACGTACCTCCAATAAATCGGATCCTGAAGATCTCCCATTGATTATTACCATATTTTGGGGAATATAACAATCATGGAACCTTATAATGTCAACCCCGGATTAATAAACCATGGTTTATTAATTAGGGGGTACGCCTCCAATAGTCCTAATCTAATACTTAAATGGTACCCTCCCAATTAAACAGCCCAGGGGTTTATTAATCCAGGGCCAACGTCGGATTCGGAAACTTCAGCGTCGGATTCGGAAACTCCCAGGCCCTCGGATTCGGAAACTCCCTCCCCCCCGGATTCGGAAACTTTAGCGTCGGATTCGGAAACTTCCAGGCCCTCGGATTCGGAAACTTCGAAGCCCACGGATTCGGAAACTCCCTGGCCCTCGGATTCGGAAACTTCCTGCCCCCCGGATTCAGAAACTTCGAAGCCCACGGATTCGGAAACTTCCAGGCCCTCGGATTCGGAAACTTCAAGGCCCACGGATTCGGAAACTCCGTGGCCCGCGGATTCGGAAACTTGCTGCCCCCCGGATTCGGAAACTTCGAAGCCCACGGATTTGGAAACTTCCTGGCCCTCGGATTCGGAAACTTGCAGCCCCTCGGATTCGGAAACTTCAAGGCCCACGGATTCGGAAACTCCCAGGGCGTCGGATTCGGAAACTCGCTGCCCCCCGGATTCGGAAACTTCGAAGCCCACGGATTCGGAAACTTCCAGGCCCTCGGATTCGGAAACTTCCAGGCCCTCGGATTCGGAAACTTCAAGGCCCACGGATTCGGAAACTCCGTGGCCCTCGGATTCGGAAACTCCCTGCCCCCCGGATTCGGAAACTTCGAAGCCCGCGGATTCGGAAACTGCCAGGGCGTCGGATTCGGAAACTCGCTGTCCCCCGGATTCGGAAACTTCGAAGACACGGATTCGGAAACTTCCAGGCCCTCGGATTCGGAAACTTCAAGGCCTTCGGATACGGAAAGTTGCGGCTCCCCCCGGATTCGGAAACTTGAATTTGGGATTTAGAAATAGCATTGGTGTGGAAACTCCCAGTGCCGAGATCTCAAAAAAAAACAAACTGCATTGTGGAAAAAAGAACATTCCGGATGTAGTTCGTCGGATTGATCTGAAAATGCAAACTGATCTCCTATATGTATAGACTCACTGATGCAATCCGAATGGTTGATCATACACGAATCCAATGTATCCCAATATTGACTGGTGTTTCCCATCATTGGGAATCACTTACATGCAAGTGCAGCTGATGCCTTGTCAAACTTACAGCAGCAGGATTTATACCAATGATCACTTGACGCAAACAGTGAGAATGCGGACAAGTGAACAATTCCTTTATATCTGGAGTGTATATGGTCTATATGCATGATATGCATGTAGAATGGGCGACAACGGTCCATTGATCTACTTTGAGTTCCCATAACTATTCCGCCTCCGCCAAACACGACATCCTACTGTACACTATGCTCTGCCACGTCATCGGCAGCTGGTCATTCATGTTTCCAGGTGATGGCTGAATCTGCTATAGCTGCTATACAGTGCTAGTGGAAAATTCGGGGATTTGTGCGCGTAAAAGTTACTGAGATTTTACTGTTCAAATGAAACCTGCAGACTCCAGAAAAACTCATTGCCATCAAGAATATATACAGAATATGTGTATACTTTATACTGTAGATATATATATATATAATTGAAAGGGAATACACAATCTAGAAAATAAATGAGAAATTACCAGTAGTACTGCGCAAGGCGGTGGCGGAAGTTTCAAAAATAGGAAATCTATAGGCAGGGTGTGCCGGGCATGCCGTAGAATGGGAACCGGACCGAGTGAGAAGAACTCTATGCAAGGGAAGGATGTGCATTGAGGACTACCATTGCATGCAGAGCTTTGGGGGGGGGGAAGTTTAGAAAATGACTTGCAATCGTGACAAGAACTCTGTGAAAGGGAAGGATGTGCATTGAGGACTACCATTGCATGCAGAGCTTTGGGGGGGGGGAAGTTATAAAAATGACTTGCAATCGTGACAAGAACTCTGTGAAAGGGAAGGATGTGCATTGAGGACTACCATTGCATGCAGAGCTTTGGGGGGGGAGAAGTTTAGAAAAGGACTTGCAATCGTGACAAGAACTCTGTGAAAGGAAAGGATGTGCATTGAGGAATACCATTGTATGCAGAGCTTTGGGGGGGGGAAGTTTAGAAAATGACTTGCAATCGTGACAAGAACTCTGTGAAAGGGAAGGTATGCATTGATGACTACTATTGCATGTAGGGCTTTGGGGGGGGAAGGTTAGAAAATGACTTGCAATGGTGACAAGAACTCTATGCAAGGGAAGAATTTGCATTGAGGAATACCATTGCATGCAGGGCTTTGGGGGGGAAGTTTATAAAAAGACTTGCAACCGTGAGAAGAACTCTATGCAAGGGAAGGATGTGCATTGAGGAATACCATTGTATGCAGAGCTTTGGGGGGGGGAAGTTTAGAAAATGACTTGCAATGGTGACAAGAACTCTATGAAAGGGAAGGATGTGCATTGAGGAATACCATTGTATGCAGAGCTTTGGGGGGGGGAAGTTTATAAAAATGACTTGCAACCGTGACAAGAACTCTATGCAAGGGAAGGATGTGCATTGAGGACTACCATTGCATGCAGAGCTTTGGGGGGGGAAGTTTAGAAAATGACTTGCAATGGTGACAAGAACTCTATGAAAGGGAAGGATGTGCATTGAGGACTACCCTTGCATGCAGAGCTTTGGGGGGGGGGAAGTTTAGAAAATGACTTGCAATGGTGACAAGAACTCTATGCAAGGGAAGGATGTGCATTCAGAAATACCATTGCATGCAGAGCTTTTAGGGGGGGAAGTTTAGAAAATGACTTGCAATCGTGACAAGAACTCTGTGAAAAGGAAGGATGTGCATTGAGGAATACCATTGTATGCAGAGCTTTGGGGGGGGGGAAGTTTAGAAAATGACTTGCAATGGTGACAAGAACTCTATGAAAGGGAAGGATGTGCATTGAGGAATACCATTGTATGCAGAGCTTTGGGGGGGGAAGTTTATAAAAATGACTTGCAACCGTGACAAGAACTCTATGCAAGGGAAGGATGTGCATTGAGGACTACCATTGCATGCAGAGCTTTGGGGGGGGAAGTTTAGAAAATGACTTGCAAAGGTGACAAGAACTCGATGAAAGGGAAGGATGTGCATTGAGGAATACCATGGTATGCAGAGCTTGGGGGGGGAAGTTTAGAAAATGACTTGCAATGGTGACAAGAACTCTATGCAAGGGAAGGATGCGCATTCAGAAATACCATTGCATGCAGAGCTTTCGGGTGGGAAGTTTAGAAAATGACTTGCAATGGTGACAAGAACTCTATGCAAGGGAAGGATGCGCATTCAGAAATACCATGGCATGCAGAGCTTTTCGGGGGGGAAGTTTAGAAAATGACTTGCAATCTTGACAAGAACTCTATGAAAGGGAAGGATGTGCATTGAGGAATACCATTGTATGCAGAGCTTTGGGGGGGGGGAAGTTTATAAAAATGACTTGCAACCGTGAGAAGAACTCTATGCAAGGGAAGGATGTGCATTGAGGACTACCATTGCATGCAGAGCTTTGGGGGGGGGAAGTTTAGAAAATGACTTGCAATCGTGACAAGAACTCTGTGAAAGGGAAGGATGTGCATTGAGGACTACCATTGCATGCAGGGCTTTGGGGGGGGGGAAGTTTAGAAAATGACTTGCAATCGTGACAAGAACTCTGTGAAAGGGAAGGATGTGCATTGAGGACTACC